TTTGACGATTTGGAAATGCTTCCAGTCGAATACAGCGGAATAGGATGAAGGGATTTTCCTTGAMTACAAACATGATTAAAGTTTGAAAAATCAAAATAATCATTTTACCTATTTTTGACTGTATTTTATTGACGTAAATAAACAGAAAACCCCTGCTTTTTTACCAGCATGGGACATTCTCTCCTGCAGTTCTTTAGCTATAAACAAGACGACATCTGTAGCGGTTTTATGGTCAATAATTTACGATAAACAAAAGAACAACACAATAAGAATACAAAGTCGGTAACCGATTCAAAAATCTGTCAGACGGTAAACCACAAACGCGTTTTCAGACGAAAGGYATTGAACATACTGGTTAGTTGGAATGAAGTTGGCATTAATCTTATGAACATAACCTAGGTAGTTCTTTCCATCAAAATGAAGTCAATGCAAAGATGAAAATAGCACTCTTTTGAATTACCTTTAAAGACATTAGATTTCTCAATTGTTGCTTTAGTTCTAAGTCAGCAAGACTTCCTAAAATAACTGAATGGCCTTGATTTTCAACTCAAGATTAGTGAAAAAAACTAAAAGGTATGGAAAAAATTACAGATCAGTGATATTTGGTAAACAAAGATTTTTTTTTGCCTACACAAGACGAACAGCGAAATGAGAAACTCAAACCAACGGAAAATATTTACAAATTTGTGTTTCAAATCGAAAGCTGACTTATCTGATTGACATGTTTGGTGAGATAAATCATTTTTTTGTATTTCATTTGGTTGTATTTGATTTATCTCGATACACAGTGCAGAAATATCTCTCTTCCCGCTAGAAAGTCGTACGCGTAATCTGATAAGATGTGATTTGATTGTGCCAGGCTTGACATCACTAAGCGTTCCGCCTTCCTTTTTTTTTACAATTCCACTAGGATTTCATTCACTTTTCTTTGTACAAACTTGGATTAGATGGTAAACTTGGGTGTCTTATTCTKTTTGAAATTCAAGTAAGTGAAGCTCTCCTTTCGTGTCACTTCAAACAACAACATAAATCAAAAAATTAATTGTTGTTAGTAAACTGAAATGCTTAGAGAGGGCGAGGTAGAATACGAGTTGAGTGTGATTCTAGAATAGACGGTTTAAAATATTTACAAAAGATTCTCTGCATCTTGCAGCGGGATACCATCTTTTGATTCTGGATTGTTTGAGGGGCTATTAGTCGATCGTTTTTTATCGTGTGTAAAAAATAACAAAAAAAAAACGCGCTCTAAAACTGGTTTAAAACAAGTTTACCTACAATTCTGTGAGAGAAACTGAGCAAGACTGCCATATGATTAGATATATAATCCCTTTGTTAGAATAAAAAATTGATGATATTGGTTTAACGACTAGTGCAGACATAGGAATATCATAAAACCTCAGCCACAAATACTTCAATACGGTAACCGCTTGGAGTACAGAATGTAATAATTAAAGTRAATTTGTCCGCCATTTTGTTTTGATTTTCGTTTCTGCCGACACCCASGGCGCTCGTTCCGTGTCAGCGGAAGCACAAAATAAAACGTAATGGCGGAAAATTCGCTCTRATTGATAACAATTTATAATGATAAATTTCAATTCCTTTTTGATAGCTGCTAATATATTTTCATAGCCAAAACTYAGAAATCAACCGGACAAAAGTTAAGTTAAGTTACATTTGTTCCTAGTAGCCGTAGCTTATCACTATTTTATCTATCTCTTTCATTTGAAATTCATAGAAAGTATGATGCATTGCTTAATATTGACAGGAGCCTATTACTAGGAGCGTCCATGGTGTGTATTTGGTTTCTGTATCAGCGTTTTCATAGACGCGGGTCTCATGTTTTTTAGATTTTTCTCGACTAATGTTCAGTCAAATCCGGTGAGTTACACGCGAACGTGAAATCCGCGGGAGGCCAAAATAAAACAGGAAGCAAACATGGCGGACGATGGTGAAAGCGAAATGTCCTCATGAGTTTTTCTAAGTAAGCGACAGCAAAGACAATGCTACTGAAAAAGTCGTCTGAAGAAAAATCTAAAAATAGACACGTATATGGAAACGCCATGACACTCCTAGTCCTATATAAGGACATGGACGCTCTTCATGTAAGTCAATTCAAGTAGAGTGAATATCGATTTGCATGACGAAATCAGAGTTATGTGACAATAGTAAGCCGTGAAATCTTTAGATCGAGGAAACGGTTTTAAGTTGTAGCCTCTATCCWATTATCATATGACCCGTATTTCGGCCCTACGCGCACTCTCACTGAAATCTTTGGAAAATGGTCACGTGATGGGGTCCGTACGCCTTTTYGCGACGGGTCCGTACAAACCCGTATTTTCCCGGCTTGAAGTTCCGCGCGCTTTTATTTATTTTTTTACATTAAAAAACGCTGTCATATGATAAAATGCTTATTGACTGAGTTAGGTCGGGCCGTACGGGAAAATATTTGGCTCTCGGTCATTTGTACGCTGTCATATGATAAAATGCTTATTGACTGAGTTAGGTCGGGCCGTACGGGAAAATATTTGACTCTCGGTCATTTGTACGGCATAACCTCGAGCCAAATATTTTCCCGTACGGCCCTCCCACTCAGTCAATATTTACATATTACTTTTTATTTGCTTCAAGATGGTCTGTATATGGTWATGCTGTCCTCTCGTTGCACAAAAAAAATTGCTCCAAATTTTAAAGGTTGCTCGAAACCTGCTTCAAAAATCACAGTGAAATTCAAATTGATCTACTTTATGATTCATTCATGTCATAGAATTAAGTTAAATTTATTAATTATTACCAATTTTTATTAATATCATTTTTTTCAAAATGACAAACAAGCAAAAAATAACAACACACACCGCCTCTCCCCAGGCCGGCTCGAATGCCTAATACTCAGTTTACTTGTGCTGTTATTATAAGTTGTTGCTTTTGATTTATTTAGAGTCATTTTTAAATCGTGCAGTGTGAAGTCCATTGGTCTTTATAAACTTTTCATGAGATTRCCGCTGGCATCACTACAAACAAACTATTCAAAAAACTTGGTCCTTAAGCATGTGCTATTGTCGTCCATTTTGGTTTTTAGTATTATAAAATGTTCAACCGCTGACAAGCGCATGCGTCGTCGATTTACCACAGGAAAACCATTAATTCAGTAATAATATAATTATGTATAGACAAATTAGTATGCATAAACTTAAAAAAAAACTTTTTTCTGCTCTTAATAAACTTGCTGGTTGCTATGAATTCATTTTGGAGTAAATGAAGGAATAAATAGTTCGGTTCAAAAACGGAAATGTTGCTTTCAAGTCAAAAAGTTTCTTGAAATCGGAGAAGTTGCCGAGGAACTTGTGATAAGCCTTAACSCATAGAAACGAATGTTGGACTCAGTTTTAATGACCACATGCCAAGAAATCTCAGATTACTATTTTAATTGAGGTAAARCCGGTTTTCACATTAGTAACCTTATGCACTTTAATATTTCCATATTTGTCCGGCGTTGCTAGAATTTTCTTTATTTCCTATTTGGATAGTATATCCTTGGAAACGAATGTTGGACCTTAGAGCTCAATCACAAAAAAGCGGTGACGAACATTTTACAGTGAAAACCCTTGTATCGTGACCAAGAAGTTTCGTTTGCCAGATTTTGTGTTTTTCTACGGCGTTAAAAACACTTTTAATTCAGATATATTCATATACAGAAAAAAAAATTACAGATGAAATTTTGTATTCTTCTTCTAGCCTAAGTTGACTTTTTTGCCCCAAATCACAGCAAAACTGAAAATCATAACGAAACTTCAAAACTTCGACTGGTCGCGATAAAAACGTTTTCGCTGTAAAACCACRTGTTCCATGCCCAGGCTAGCACCTCATTAGAAAACTACCGTTTTAGAAAACGCTTTATGACTTTAGTTCACACCAAAATCGTCCCTTTTTGAGCTCAGATTGGCCCGTTTGGGCTGTTTTGCGACTATCAAATTATCAATAAAAATGATCCTGCATGGAATTTGAATGCATGCATGTTTCTGGGTAACATGAGCCCAAAGCAGTTTTTGTGGCTTTCTATGTACAGTAGGTGATTGACACACAGAAGTGCTGTGTCAACAGACTTAAGCTGAATCCAATGAAACCTAATAGGTTTTGAATGAAGTAGTTTAAAAATCCTTTCCTTTCACATTCTATCRATCTGTGAATAAAGTAAAAGTGGAGCGGCATACGATGACTTTGAAGTTTGTATAAAAACACTTGGTATTCTGTTTTCGAAACAAAAGGCATGCTCTTAATTGAACTAACATTTTGAGACAAGGACTTTTAATAATTTAACTGCCCGAATGAAAATTTACTGAGCGCTAATTGTAGCCTTGCATTTAATTGACAATTATAGTTATGTTATAATTAATAGCCTTTTATGCAGAATCTATGCTAAAAAGCCATTGAATAATTCAGCATTCCCCAAATGAGAAACCAAAATTCGTCAACACAGCTGAGCAGTTGCACTTAGTTTTCTTTCAATTAAATGCGACTGATATATTCCTCCTAATTATTTATCTAACGTATACTTAAAGCTTTATCATTATTTGACAGAAAGCATGATTTTTCTCGACCTTTTTCWAAGCCCTATGGCGGATTGTTCGCAGACGAGTAGGCCCTATATCTCATGTATATCTCACGGAAACGCTTTTCGGCAGGTGGTTKGAAAAGATCGCTACAAGACGATTTCCACTAGAATGTTCCATTCTAARCCGGATGTTTCTTAATTGTAGCTAAGCTGTATAGTAGCGTCTCGACTTATATTCGATCATAAATACCCTTTTTAAACACTGGCCAATCAATTCAGTTTGTCATGAAAATAGGCTTGKCTCAATTGAGCAATTAGCACACACGAAAACTGAAAGCCTTTGAATACATTTACGTTCATGAATACAGTTACACGGAAAGATCGGAATTACTATTCGATAAAAACACTTTAAAGGCAAAATTTTCAATTAATAAAAATTTATGTTAATAACTTATACYTCAGCGTGAAAGAATTGCCAATATTTCACCCGAATCTTTTTAGCCTTAATGCTGATATTATTGTGTTTAATTAGCTCTTATTGACCACACTCTGAATAACACTTTATGTTGAGTGTTACGCATGATATCGACTCATCCTGGAGATTTCTTTTCGAATGCAACACAAGATGATTTAAAAACGGAACCGAAACCTAAATGATTGTATTGTCTGGACACAAACGTAAGTGATTTGAGAAGTTATTTGATAGCGATCTTCATTATCAAACTTCGAGTGATTCCAAGTTTTTTCTTATCACTGCTGCCGGACTCGACTAAACAAGATATTCTTTAGATCTTTTAATGCATATTGCTGCTGTGCTATAAAGTTCGTCTCCACTCGACATTAGAAGACCAAAGAGAATACGTTGAATATAATTCCAGGTATTTCATGAAACCGATTTATAGTATAATATAGGTACACATATGGTTCGCAATATCTTGTTTGTGGTTACCCATCGATACATAAACTTTTGAAAAGGTCGGTGAGTTAAAATTCAATCTCGTCACAGCGTAATCTCCGTTCGAAGTTTTGTCAAATTAAGTGTGCTTGATTTAAAAACTGAATATAGCCGCAAAGAGCGACAGTAAAGCACTTCATTTCATTTCTAATTTATACAACCGGAAAAATCTGATATATAAGTACGTTTAAGTACAAATCAATTGATATTAATTCTCAAAAGATTTTGGCTTGAGTTTTTAAAAATTAAGAGAGAGAGAGAGAGAGGGAGGGAGAAAAAAGAAAGAAAGAAAAGTCATGTTGATTTCAAAAATTTGATTTGTGACATTCGAGGATTCAAAAAAGAAACTTGTTTTGACGATTTTTAACTTGGATATAAAACAGTGTTAATTAAGTAAAGAAGAATAAGGTTGAATGACTTAATCTTGAAAGGAAATAAATRTAAAATTGCGTTATAATAATTTTCTATGAAAAAAGGTTAAACTCGATCAAATCTCAAACATAAAAAGTCGTAGAAGTCGAGCATGATAAAGTGTTGGAACATTAAATTCTCGTGATCAGTGATTGACACCAATACACATATTAGAATTATAACTGTAACTACATTGACTGATTGGTGTTAACTCGAGGAATAACTTCTTGAACCGTGTATTTTCGGTAAATCTTCGTTATTTTTCTTCTTTATTCCACGGATTATCACTGGAAAAAATCGCGCACTTTTAAGATTGTAAATTTGATGTAAATATGATGCAAATTTGCATCAAATTTACATCATTTTACATCAAATTTACATCAGTTTGGACACTTAAATCATATTTACATCAAATTTACAAGATTTTTTCCAGTGTATTTTTATAAAGACATTACCCAATTATGCCTTTTTTTTTATTTTCAAAGAGAGAGACCGCTGTCCTAGTGGACAAACGACGTAAAGACAAAGAAAGCACGTACTAGAGTAATGTTTTTTATAACACTCGAAAATCTCAAAGATTTTTGCTATATATATTATAACGCATTGTTGGCACTCGCATTAATGGTGATTTCAGTGAGCATTCGATGGAAAGAAATTTAGTTAATTCTAGTAGAATTTACATAAGGAATTTAATGCCAACATTACCAGCAATGCATTGCGATATTGGAATACACTATTCTTTATCATACGGTATTCAACATTGTTTGAAATTGCTGTATATATAGTTTAACTAATCTCTCGAATCTATTACTTCATAATTCCAAGTCAATGTTTTTTACCCTTTGCAAGTGACATTTGTTAATCAAGTTTACGGCATTATTATTGTCTTTCGTGTGATATATACATCAACGTGACTGACAGCTTATCAAGTGAACTTTGATGTTTTAATTAATTAGTGCAAATGTCTATCGTACAACTAATCTTCTTTGATTTTCAAACGTCCAATCTTGATAAAAGTAATCTTTTGAAATCAGTAAAATTACTTGGGTCCGGTTAGCGGGGCCTTCAAAGCATCACTGCAATATATGCAAACTTTCTCTAGTTCCGCAGTAAATATTTTGGCCTTGCATTCTCTAGGGTTTTAATGGAGTTTGAGCTAAAAATACCAATAATGAACGTAAATATTTTTCAGTTTCAAAGATTAAGGATTTAGGGATGAATCAGGATGAAATCTGCTAATTGAATGGTGAAGGAAGTTTAGTTTCAAAATCACTTTTGTGTGGGAATTACTTCTCCTGACACTCTCCAGCAACTATAATTCACTTGACGGCAAGTCTTATTTCATGACATAAATCCTTTAAATTTCATTTTGCAAATACAGATTCGATGATCAATAAAAAATTGAAAATCAAGCAAAACTTATTATGACATTTGTACAGGAAATAGGATTACCTATCCTACAATCCAATTCCCAAGAAAATAAAAAAAAATTGTTAATGAGCAACATACAATATATATATATATATATAAATACAGCTTTTTGCAAAAATTATGAGAATTGTCTAAATATCTAAATATCATAATATCCATATCCATATATTGTCCGGAACACGCGGGTTTGCTAGAATAATTCATTGTTGACATCAAGAAAATGTTCAGAACTACGGATAAGTCTGTCGCCAAAAAAAAACTAAACTACAAAGACAAGGGACTAAGGGCATCGCGCGGGATTACNAATTAAAAAGTAAAATATTAAAAAAATTAAAAAAAGCTCCCAAACAAGCAAATAATCGACCAAAGTAATGGTTTATATCACTTCAAATTAATCAGAATATCGGTGAAAACATTTCATTAAAACTGTGACCAATAAAACCACCATTTTATTCTAGATGTCTGACCACAGTGTAAGCTTAGATGATGGTTTGGACGATAATTTCAACTGAGTGATTTTTAGCCAGTTCTGGATTTTATTATCGGTCTAATAACTCTTCATTAATGATGAATAATTACATGCAGCCATAATAAACGTATTGTGTTTGTGTTGCTTTTGCAGTGAATRGCTATATCAATATATTATTAGAGATATCGGCATTACATAGAGAGAGTTTATAATCGAGTAGAGTAATATTTTCACTACATAAAGCAGACGCGCAAACAAACAAAAAACTAAGACTTTTCGTATAAGAACAAAATTAAAATATCAACGAAAATGATAACCTAAATAATCAGTTAAATAAAAAATTGAAAGAGTACAATCTAGTTTAATTTTTAAGAAGATAAATATCGCATATTTTACTGACAATAATAACGGTTTTAATTTGCAATGTTTTGAAAACATAAATTTGAAGTGCGGTTTGCTAAAGCGAAAAGTTTATAGCTATTATGCAATGAAAGACATTCTTTTGTGAAATACCCATTCAAGACCTTTTAAGCTTGATTTAACAAATTGATATTAGGATCCGTTGTCAGTTCCTGCGATAAATGCGACTAAACTTAGCTATTCAAATAATAGCTTAATTCGCCACAGGCATAAAATAAAACTAAGAAATAATAATAATAATAATAATAATAATAATAGTAATCCCCAGAAAAAGGTTGATTCGCAAAACACACTTATCGTCAGTTTTAAGATGTCAGAGATATCTTAATATGAACTCAATGTAATAAAATATTCACAAAATTAATGAAAAAATGAAATATTCACAAAATTAATGAAAAAATGAACCTTTATCAACAGGGGTTAGATATTTGCCAGACTTCAAAAGTGATCTTAACGCGCTTTTCTTAACTCAGTGGACGCAAACGTCTTTAACACTTCTCAACCATTCACTTTTCAATAAGGTGTGAAAGAGCTCCCACTAACGCCATAAAAACACGGTTTTTGAAAAGATTTGAATTACAAAAATGATAATTAYAAAAATGTCATTAGTTCGTTCTTGAAATAGCGATTTATATGAATAGCTTTTGGTGTCAGTAAAGTGGGTTTGTTCAGTCGAAATAGAAATGAACGTGCGTGGGTTATATTATAGTTTGTTTCAAAGCGGCTGCTCGTTATCTTAAACTGTTAAAAGCAAACAAGAGAATTGTTTAGACGAACTGTCTCTACTTTCAATTGATAGACACTTAATACTTCCCTTTGATATCACAATGAACGCTGTTTTATAAAGTACTGAATAAGTTATTATCACTCTCGAGGAACACTGAATCAAGTTCAGTGTAGATGCAAAATCGACTAACTTGGTTCTTATTATTATATAGTGTTGAAGAAAGTACAAGGAAAAGCTCTGATAAAGATGGAAAAACCCACAATTCCTGCATGGTGAGCCATACTTAATAAGGTATGAAGGTACATTTTTCAATTAGAAATGAAATTATCCACTCTTTAYGTGAGAATAACACAGATAAAAGAATTCATCATATTGCTCTAGTTTCAAGACCCTTGAAGGCTATATCAGCGATAGCGTTGGATCCGGATATTGCTAAGTTATCGGTTGTTCTAAAGGCATGTTTAATGTTCAGTAGTAGATATCTTGAGTTTTGTCTGCTTCGCATGTCTTTGAAGAAAATCATTGCAACAGAACACGAGATTGGAATTGGACTTCGCTTTAAAATATTATATTTACTTTCGAAAAAGTAGATTTTCAAAAATATTGCACACTTTTATACGTAAAAACGCAAGGCTAACAGTGGGTAAGTAATGTAGTTATTAATCTAAATATAATAACTATTTAATTGTTACTAAATTTGAATTACGCAGTATTTTTGAACTTTCCCACTTACTTTTAATGTTTTATTTTTTCATTTTAATAATTTCAATAATTATAGAAAGTATTATTATAATAAAATATTACTAGTAATATTATTAATAATTATTACTACGATGCATATTCATTAGTTTAGAATGATTACTTTTTTTGAGATGATTATTTTGAGAAGACTTAAACGTAGTATTAATAAAGCAAACTGGTCTTGAAATGTTTGCGATCCAAAACAAGCAAATTAACATCTGAAAACACCATCTCAACAAAAATATTACTGCAAACACTACAAAAACCATGAAAAAACTTTCTTAGTGCAAAATAATACTGAATAATGTGAAATTCCTTTTCTATTGTCTAATCTACACTATATTCACTATAATGGCGAAATTTACTGAATCACTACTAACTTGGTTAGAGCTTTTTCAGGAATTCGATGTTTCGGCATTCTACTGAATTCAACATGATTAAAAAAAATTTGTTGACACATTTTTATCTTGCAATTATGTCACTTTAACTACATTAATGAAAAGGAAAACATAGATATTTACATTCAGTGGTTTCCTGTGGTTTCCTGATTCGATCCTGATATTTTGGGAGAATGAAAACAAAAATTTGAATGGTCCTTTCTCAAGGATTGTCGCCATTTTTATTCTTTTTTTTTTACCTAAAGAACAGCGACCCCTAAGATTCTAAATCATATGCTATATTCAGAAGTTGTGTAAGATTCTAAAAAAATTTGAATCAAAATACGTAGGTATCCTAATTTTTTTCTGTTTTTACAGATCTTGTAAGGAAAACATATACTTTAACATTTCTGGTGTCGATTTGTCGATTCTTTCAGTTAAAAAAAAAGAGATAAAAATGACTGAAATGAAAAAAGGTCTATCTGATGAGCGGCGTCCATGACATAGTCTACTATTCATCATCCTCGGGCCATTTTATAAGTTTTTTTTTGAAAGTCTAGAAACTGATGGTTTTGCGCAGAATAAATATGTTAGCTGAATTCTATTGAAAAAGAAATTATGTTTCACATTTGTTTATCCGTCAGCATCCCTAAGTAATCAAATCTAGACGTTTCCTAAATTGTCGGGCAATTAAACACACTTAAAAATCCTTCATCTCTCAAGATTTGCTGCATGGAATAATTYCTCTTAACGACGCTTTCTGAYGGAATTTTTTAGGCTTTTACCGACATAGCTAGTCATAACGACACTATACCAATACTTCAGATTCTTAAAGGAAATCGGATTAATGTGGATTTTCTAAGGTAACGATAAAAGCGAATGTAAAAGAAAGTGTATTTGTCTAGAAGAGAAAAACTGGAGAAGAGTTTCTGCCTAAGCAAAAAAGGTAAGATATATTTACCATAATATAAAATCCAAGTCGACTCAAAAAGTTCTTGATAGCGAGATTTAAGAAATTTAGCTATAACTGTGCTGTATGTTTATGGAGAAAACACGTCCAAAGAGCAAAATCATTGTGCTTTCAATCGGGAAATTTTAATAAACGGCCGCCATTTTGTGTTATGTTGTATTTCCGCTGACCGCTTAAAAGATTAACAAACTATGAACCAAACAAGAGCATGTCCAAGAGCATTAAACCCTCAAGCATGAATGCAAGTACACACGGAAAACCATTCTTTGTTTATGSGTATTGTTTATGCTTAAACACATGAGCGACATAATGTAATTCAAGAAAAAGAAACGAAAAAACTTTTGTACTTCTCGTGTTTATGATTTAATGTCGGATATGTGGACTACCGACTTAGACAAATATCTTAATAACCAGTAATCATTGCTAAGTATTTGTGGATTAAAAAGGAGACTGAAATGTTGTTTATAGATATATAAATATTTTGTGTTTCCAATTCAATAATATTACATAAATTATTCATGACTTTCTGATAAGTGCTCTGATTTGTCCAGTGACTTTTACCTGAGAGTCAATTGATCTTTTAAAAGATAAAACAAAATTTGCCATTGCAATCATTGGAATATTAGTTTATCAAATCCTTTCCTAGAAAATTCAAATTTTACGCAAATCGGCCTCCACACGATTGAATCGTTTGGAACCTCGTTTATGTCAAGCGATCAAATTCTTTGTCGAGAGAAAGCATATACTCGGACTTATTCACTTATCAGCGAATCTACTGACACTTTTAAGTTAAGTAATGATTTGAAATTTGTGTTATCGTGAAATATTTGTCTCAATATKGCTTGCTCATTTACAGAGAATATTCAATCATGGCAAAAGCACAAGTGTTTAACCGGAAAAAAACTAGTCAATTTAGCTTACACTAACACAAAGCCTTTTATAAGACCCAACAAAACGCATTAGGATATTTTACTGAGTCAAGTGCTCTTCTAACAAAGTAATTACCTTCGCTTTGGTCAAATAAAATCATAGAAAGCTTGCACAATACAAAGCTGACCATGATTCATTGTGGATCAGTTGAATGGATTGAATGCTTTGTGTCCAATTATTTTAAATTATCTCCATTATTATTTCCAAAATTCTGTAAATTTGATGGAAATCATTTACATCAAATTTACAGAATTTTGGACACTTACATCATATTTACATCAAATATACAACCTTTAATGCGCGCGATKTTTTCCAGTGTAAACGACTTCACTAGAAAATTATGAAATAATCGTACATTGTGCCTATAAGAAAAGTCGTATGCGCTATCTTTCACTGAAAAAGGGAGAGTTCCGGAGGGTCCGCGACTCTAATAAAACATKATGAGGAATGTCCTTCAGTATATTCTGTCAATAAATCATTTGYGCTGAGCTTCCAAAAATGGCGGGAGTCCCGGATGGTCTGTGAATTCAGAACATTAAGAAATGGTCGAGAATATATTCCAAAACGACTAGTATTCCATTTTGTATTCCATTTAGTTTGATTATTGGCTTCTTTCTAGCGTTTTGCATGATGCAAGTATTTCAAAACTCACAGTGTATTTAGGAAAGTACCCAGTTATGGCAAATAACATTGCGGAGCAAAAGGGTTGCATAATATGTAGTTGTTTACAAGCGACAACATCGGTGTAGATTTAGATCTCAGCCACAAAGCACACGACCTATTAGACAAAAAATTGTATACCAAAAGCCTCGGGGGTAAACGAAAATGGATCAATSTAGTATTATGTCTCAGTCTAATTGTGGTCTCATAATTGACTCTAATGAATATGATGGCATAGATTACAATTTTGCACAAGCCTTAACAACCACGAGTATTTATCGTAATCCAACACTTGTATCTATTATTGTATTAATCGAGCAAAGATAACTCATTCCTGAAACTATWCAACACGAAAAGACCGTTCARGAACACTAATGTTTGTTGTTGAAGATCGGATGCGTTTCTAAAGCACTGCTTTTTATCAGGAAACAGGAGGAAAGGATTCGTGAATTTAACATCACTTCCTGAAGCTAATGCATTGAAACCCAACGTAATTGAGAACATCTCAGGAGAAAGACGTTAATTGATTAAATTGAATGGGTTGGTTCTCTTGTAGTCAACAGAATGTACACCTAATTAGTTTTCAAGAAAGTACTATATACGATTTCAGTAGAGCGAGCACGTTATTGTCAAACTGTCGTCAATTCTTGTCGAAACTGAAGGTTGGGTTAGAAGAGGGTAAGTCAAACGAAATAATTCCATAAACATATCATAACTAAGCGCTTATATGTTTTAACAGAGCAAAAACTCCGTTTTCTTGTCGCTGGTATGTGACTTGACTCTGAAAGCTACTTCTCTCTTTTTCGCGAATTCCACTAGATTTTTTTCAAGACTTAAAACAGAATCTTTTTGAGTTCGTCGTGTCCTGACCAAATAAGGTAGGAGCTTTTGTTCTAAAAAAAGCAAGAAACTGGACGCGAAAGCAGTGAACATGGGATGTCATTTTCCATGTATCTAGATAGCTTTGGTTCAAGATATGAACAAGGATTTTAATTAGTCAAATRTCAACATTATTTCTACGTGCAAAACTATTTAAGAAAGACAACAGTTTGTGTACATAAGTTTTCAATGGAGCCAGCATGGTTTAAAAGTCTGAATCGCTAACTATGAGARAAATCATTTTAACTCAGGATAAAACTAACTGTCGACTGTTCATTAGGAGAAAGAAGGCCGGTAATTGWCACCTTTTCATCAAGCAAAGATATTAGGCTGATAGAACGAAAACTCTTTTACAACCTGGATGACAAGGAATTGAAATGTCGGCCCMAATATACCACAAAGAAATGCAAAATACAGTAAGATTTATGAAAATTGAAAAAAAAAGAATGAAAACAGAAAAAGAATATGTTAAAAGAATTGCATTTTAGCCAAGAAAAGAGCGGCCATTAATCACTTTCCGTTCCTTTGCGATTTTTTTTCGACGAAACAAATATCTTCTAGTGTTTGTTGCTATTATCGGAGTTTAGTGACGTGTTTTTGATAAGTTTTCTTTTAATACACCACAGCTCGCCATTTTGGATTGACGATGTCAATTTTCATTACAAAATGGCGGACGTGCATGACGCAACCCTCCCATTGGCGAAACGTTACAGGCCTTACCATGTCAGCCRCATATATGGCTATCTATCGGACTTGGTATGTATACGGTTTACAGTAGACCCGGTATACTCTCTAATAAGAAGAACGACAACAAAATACTTGATGTCCTTGACGAAACACTTGAGCAAAAATAACTGTGCTTAATTCGCAGCATACTTCAGCCATTATTATCATAATACAGTTGGTAATATGTTGGGAACAAAACGTAGAAATCATCAGCTGGTCTCTAAAAAGCGACAGAAATGTTTTATTACAGCTAAATGTATAGTCTTCCGATGTAGTATTTGTTTTTCGGATTTGTATTTATCATTGCTGTTTTCGATAAACATCAAAAAAACCTTCGGGCCAAAAACTAATGGGCTGACATACAGAGCTGCCTGACTACTCATTCACATTTGATTTGTGTATGGTACTTCAAGGTTAAGGAGAATTTATTATTAAGAATAAATATATGCTATATGCTTGCCTTGTTTTAGAGAGCAACAATATTACTCCATGGACAATCTATTTGTGTAAAAGATTAATAACTKTATTTTAGGAATAATCTTTTAGTGTAACAAAAGTTTCTTTTACTTCTTGATGAAATGTTGTCACTTTTTATCTACCGAGCATCACTTTGAACAGTGAACATAGACATTGTTGTCTTAAAATGGTGCTTCCAGGCACTTTTATGGTTAGTTTTAAGCCGCGTCAATAAAATCAAGGAAATAAATGGCCATACATAAATTGACAAAATAAATAAACAGACAGACAGGATTTAAAAAAAATTTAAGTCGTAATTGAATAATATTTCGATGAAATTCAGCGTCTACCATAGAGACTCAGTCTTTTCAAGTGACTGTTACAAAACGTACGCCCAACGCTGGCAAATCTGGAAACATTAAAGATATTCTTGGGTGAAAAAAAAGCTTCCGACATCGAACTTCAAGTCTTGAAGTTRACAAGAGAACAAATGAAAAGGTGAATGCTTGATAAGTTATGTTCGACGGACATTAGACTCCATCCAAYCTTCGACGTAGAAACAACGAGCGAAACGTTAGTACTAAGCTTTCTGGKTTTTTTTTAGTAAGTGTATAATTTATGCTTYAATAGCAAATGTTTTTACTAGAAACACCGAGTCAGCTTWTTCTAAGTTAACATTTATTAATTTAGTCTCTCGCGTTTAGCATTAATATTTCTCCGTTCTAAMAACAAGGYAAGCAACATCAAGTAAAATGTTAGGTTATCAAACTTTAGTCGACATGCATATATAAATAAAACGTTTTATATAATACTCAACTTCTAGGAATAATGCTTTACATTTGCTATATTTCGACATTCCCTTATCCAATATGGCGGCCACAAATCACGTGATGATACCGAAGTCAATTGTCGCGTACGCTTGTCGGTCAGACAAAACTTAAACGATAAAGATGTACTCCCTACCATTATAATTAAAAGACTAAAAACAACGGAAACATAACGAAACTAGAAGGAAAAAATATCTTTTCATGGAAGTCGGCTTTTTTGTGAATTGAACAACAGGAGTTTAATCCAATTTCTGTTCGTAATTTTGTGCCTTAGAACTGAAATCCTTCTCGTCTTTATTAATAAAACTCTTTGGAAAAAAAACAACCGCTTTAAAATAAAAAGTGAAAGTCTGATAATAACCGGTTCAAATGAGAGATTCCGTCTTTAATTAGAAAACTTTCACATTCACTACGATCGTTAAATTGAAAGACAGTCTTGAATTGTAGCTTCAATTCGGTGGGTAGATATAATTAGAGGAGTTGCCGTTCGGCAGTCATTGATACTGTTTTTTCTTACAAGCCTACAAGCTGTGCAATAAGGAGAAACATCTTAAGATTAAAGCTATATATAGAACAGCAGTAAATTAGGTTAAAATAGTCATTATAAAGCTAAAAAAAATACCAGCTTCAAAACTCTCGAAAATCATCATTTTTTGCTTATTGAAAATTATTAAAAGTATATTGTATAGAAAGAGAGAACAAAGTGAAATATAAAAAACTAGGTATACGATAAAAAATATTATCAACTTTGCTAACTTGGGACGAATGGTAAGTTACAGAACCTTGTAATTATAAATAATTTAAAAAACGCTTTTTATAAATACGATTTCAACACACGAAGATATTTTCCGTTTTTCAATTCTCTGTTACAAGCGAATTATTCAAAGCATTTTCGACTGTTTTCACAAGAATCACAAGTGTTTCTAACGGAGAATGAAAACAAGGAAAATATWTTCTAATGCTTTTATAAAATAACAACAACTCTTCGCTTGAAAGCCGTGAGTTTCTATGCTTTCAGAGAAACACGGTTTTTTTGCACATTTGAACCAATCAATGCGAGTGTTATATATAGCTATTTTATAAACAGGTGTTTGAGAAAATTCTTWACTGCTAATAGGTAAATATCAAAAAAATATGATGGCTGACTCTTTAAAATATGCCTTTCATTTGTTGTTAAATTGCAAAATATAAATTTTAATAACCCAAATAAACATAATTCCAAAGTTACTGATCGACTTAAAATGGAAAAGGACGAAATTCGCATCAAATTACCCATCATGCACCCGATATAATGATATATGTTAGCTATACAGCCTTTTGCAAAAATTATGACAATTGTTGAAATATCTAAATATCATAATATCGAGTRCATGATGGGTAATCCCGCGCGATGCCCTTAGTCCCTTGTCTTTGTAGTTTAGTTTTTTTTTGGCGACAGACTTATCCGTAGTTCTGAACATTTTCTCGATGTCAACAATGAATTATTCTAGCAAACCCKYRTGTTCCGGACAATATATGGATATGGATATTATGATATTTAGATATTTAGACAATTCTCATAATTTTTGCAAAAGGCTGTAAATTGTACAGCTATATGCAATAATTCTGACCCACCTACACTAATATTCATATCTATCATATAATTATCTATGAAATATCTATATTTCTCCGTTTCGTAAAGTTGATATTTTCACTAGTAAAATTAACATTTATTTTCACTACTGAAAGTAACACATTCGAGGTTTCTCTATATAGYRGAAGTAAGAAAAAAGGTATTTTACGACATAGTTTGATTTCATATACAATTATATGATAAATAGAATATTACATGTTCGCTTGGAGATACGAATTTTATCTTCTCGTGTTGAAAAGATCTTTTCAACACCCGATRAAATCCGTATCTCCGCGCGCCCATGCAATATCCTCTATATATCAAATTATGTAGTAAAATTACCTTTTTTCTTACTTCTACATATGGGGAAACCTCGAATGTAATTTTCACTAGTGAAAATAGCAGCTTTACGAAATGGAGAAATATAGGTATTTCATAGATAATTATATGATAAATATGAAAATTAGCCTAGGTGAGGTCAGAATTATTGCAAATAGCTATACATGTGCATAAATAGTAACAACAATAATGATGACAATAACAATAACACTACATGTAATACTATAAAAGTAATAATAATACTGATAATAATAACTGAATAATAATAATGAGTAATGGTAGTATATTTYTTAAAATTGATTAATAAAAAAGAAATGATAATAAAAAACAATAATAATGATAACAATAATAACAGAACTTTAGAGAAACATAGTAGTATAAAAACGAGCGACAATAAATTGCAACGTTTCGTTGTCATCCAGACAACATTTTCAAGCAGATTTAATTTTAACAATAATAACATCAATAATAATAAATAAATAATAATAATAAAGCGAAAAAAAATGGATAAAGTGCACCATTAGTGCATAACCTTAAAATCAGACTACACAATTTCCAAAGTTCTATATATTTTTGTCCGATCGACTGTGTTTGCAATACATTTGTATCACAAAGATCAATGAAAACGAGTAGGTRCTGTCGTTAACCTATTCTTCTAAATGAAATATTCGGGGGTATTTTGGTAATATTTTAATAAAATGTAGATTTTGTTACTTTTGATCGGCATGAGACCGACTATAATTCCACTAATAGTTTTAGCATCGGTTATGCTATTTGCTCGTTTCAAATCCTTCCCAACGGAACTCAGCATGGCGTCTTTATTTTACAGCATAGTCCAAGAGCGATGGGGACTTAGATCACTCTACCAAGCTGGCGCTTTAAAATGAAGGAAACAAAACCAGTTCTCGCCGTAATAATAACTTTATTGTGCTGTAACCGTTCACTTCTAGCATCTATACTTAAGGTAGGTTRGCTGGCAATTGAATAATACCGAAATAGAGTCCTAACAGGTTCACACTTTCAATGACTTTTATCTTAATTAGAAAYAATATCGATTACAGTATTAAAACGTTTTGTAATCTTCACAAAGACCATTTATAGTTATGTCCACGTCTAGAACTAATATGAACTTTAAGAACTGTTGTATGGGCGGGCTATTCAATGAATGCCTGACTAATTCATGGCTTATTTTGATACTTTGCTTTGATTTTCTTTTGAGCCGTCAACGTTTGACGTCATTCTCGTGTTTATTTTTGATTCAGGAACTATTTCAATATATTATCCTGGATTATAATGCACTGAAAAATAAAAAAAATACCTTTATCGGTAGAATGTTATTGCTCTAAAATTTAGTGTTGAACTCTATCTATTTAAACATTTATTAAAATGAAATGCGAAGAAAAATCTAGTATAACATTTAAAGTCAAAAAACGTGACAACTCGGTAATAATAAATCAATTTAGCAAACCCAACTGCGATTGACTTGAAGATGATGCTGAAAAAATAGCTTATTGGTAGGAAAAATAGGGAAAAAAATTGGAGAAGTAAAGTCAAACTGATCGTTCAATTCATCATCCTATAAAACGTTGATAGTCCTGGTGTGTTTGAAGGTTTTGATGGTTTCTTGGCATATTTTGATATCAAACAATCTAAATTTGAAAAGATATTGTTGGATTCTCGGGTAGAAGATTCTCAACAGCTTTATCCACGTCCGAGTTAAACACTYCGTCTTACTGTAGATGTTTTCTTCATACTTTCCCATAAGATTCATCATAAAYTACGAAGTTTAATTCAGCTACAATTGTTTTTATTTCGTTATATGCTCGTGAGTCTTCCTTCCATTTCCAGGAAGTCGGCGCGTGGAAGTGAGAAAGCTTGGCAACACTTTCTATAAATAAATAAAATGCAGGTGTACTTTATATAACCTTTAACAAACTTTCCATTTTCGATTGGGTGTATTTCGTAGTATCTCACGAACCTCGAGGACAAACTCATGTTAAAATTAACCGTGTAAACTGCTAGAAATTTGAAAGCGTTTACGGCACATGGCTCTCAACTCTCACTCGAGATTATTTGGAATAAGACTTCTGAAGCTTTTACTTCTCCTACTTGAWTTGCAACGCATTGTAGGACCAGTTTCTATAGAAAATTAAAAATATCAGCCATGTTTTGCCCCAACATCAACCTACAATACATAACATGCCACATACACATACACGTTCAGAACCGAACACAGTGTGTATACGGTATATGATGTAAAAGCTTCAAAGGTCTATAGAGAGTTTTAGATTCATGTTTACTTCGAAAAAAGGAATAACTATCGGTCTTCGTTTATTCCTCGGATATTCTAAAATATATTTTTTCCAAAACTCTATTACGACTCTCTCGCAAGCATTATCGCTAATCAATTAAAAAAATACACTTACACGAAGCCCGTCACAAAAGAAGCTGRTTGGAGATGGTTCAAAATGACTTAGAAAGCCAGAAAAAATACTGATATTGAATACCCATAATTGTTTTTCTATCATACAACAGAGTATGTACAGGCAACCTCGTACCCAGAGCCCCTGTCCCTCTAACTGCGGAAGCTCGACGAAATTCACATTAAGTACTTGTCACAGACCAAAAGTAACGCGGGCTCTGGGTACGAGATTGATATACAGGTAGCCCACACTCTACATTTGTTCTCCATGTTTTGTTGGATAAAACGAAAATTTAAATAAAAGTCGTAAATCTTATCAGTGTTATCTGCTAATGAATCTCTAATTTGCATTTAATGCATTAGCATAGAATACCTAATTTATTGTTTGTTTTTTGTTTTTGTTGTTGTTTTGTTGTTGCTGTTTTTTATAATTGTTTTGCTTTTTGTTTTTAGGAAAAAGCAAGACCGACGCTTGACATCGGTGAGTCAGAATTCAAAGCCTTACATGTAAAAGATCTAATTTCACATGTCAATACTCGTTCAAACGCCTTGTCCATTCTTAAAATGACTAAAAAATCGAGAAAAAGATTCTATAGTTACCAAAGATATAACCTGCGAGCACAGTAGGGTGAAACAAGAACTACTTCGTGGAACATACCGTGTCCAGTTTTGCCGTGAAATATATATTTTACCAGCGCCGCGATCGATTTGATAGATTTGTACATCTTTAGTTAGACAGCTCCTTCTCCCTGTTCTCGTGATAAGGCATTTACAACACTCATACTTACCCGGTGGTAAACAAGTCACCAGCAATACATAACCTCCATCTACTGCTATCACACATTGATGCAATTGAGCCTTCGCTTCCTCTACAATACCAAATCTTTAGATTACTTTGATCATTGTCCAACCATTCATCACGTAGTAGCAGCCATTGAAGGAGAGGAAGGTCCTCTGTAGCCCGCCATTTTGCATGCAACTTTTGAATACGGGCCATAGTAAACCCATGCAGTTTAGTTTGTCTTTTAATGGCGTAATTTTGTGTTCTTTTTAATACATAAACATAGCCTTGTCCAGAAATAGTAGATCCGTTAACGATGCATCTGGTGATTTAAAGACAAAATAGTAAATTAGTTTGTTTATACTGTTCAAGAAGAAGGGTTGTTCAATCAATTATGTACAGTCGGAAAAGTTATTTATAAAAAAAGATAAAAGTTAAATTACCTGCAAAACATTATTGTTTTTTTCTTTGTTTGTTCTTTTGAACATTCGCTTAAAACGTAACATTGTACACACCTATTTCAAAAAGCTCTTGTCGGGGAGAACGGCGATTATCGAAGGGAGGTTAGATTCGTAGATTCGACAATAGAAAACAAAAAGAACCACTTCGTGGAACATACCGTGTCCAAGTTAGTGTTAAGTGAATAGAATAATTTTGTCGCGAAATATATATTTCTATACAGCGCCGCGATCGATTTAATAGATTCTTGCGTATAATCTTTTCACATCAGTTTTTTGAATATTTTTATCATTGCAGCGAAGATTTAGCATTCAGCAGTTTGCATTCGCATTATCCCCAGAGAATTTATAAGATGGAAGTTCGTTTTGTATTTTAGAAATAAAAAAGAACGAGTATATTTCAAAATTAAAGAAAGAAAAGAGAGGGAGAGAGAGAGAGAAAGAAAGAAAGAAAATGTTTAGAAGCTGCTCACGCCGAGAATCGAACCCGAAATCGTCAGTTCAACGCCGCTATTGTAAAAATCAAAATAACGGTTCGAAAATAATTATTAAACAGAATCTACAGAAAAAAGTCAAGATGACTATAACAACTATATTATATTTTAAAAGAAATAAATAAAAAAAAGTGCTCGAGACGAGATCCGAACCCGCGATTGTTTCTAAAATTTAACAAAATTAATAAAAAATAATTAATAAAACAAACTGCTACGATAATAATCTAACATGACTAGAACAACTATATTTCAGTTAAAAAAAAACGAAAGAGAAAATAATTTAAAAGAAAGAGAAAATAATTTTTCAGACGTGCTCGAATCGAGGATCGAACTTGGAACTGTGGATTATGGGTCCCTTGGGATTGTTAAACTGCGAAAAAAAATAATAAAAATAAAGTCGCTGCATTTTATAACCGTGCCGATGCTCGTAGGGTACAATAGATTTCCCAGCATGCTTTGAGTTTCGCTAAAGTAATTGTGGATAAATATGCGGGTCATTTTGTAATGACAAGCTTCTCAAAATCAATCTCGTTATCTTATTATCCTTGGTCATTTAGTGGTTTGGCATTTGCAGCCAGACGAAAGCCGCTATCACCATGAAATAATGTTTTACTAGACTTTTGACAACATTGTGACCTCAGTTGCGTCATCACGCTGTTAAGAAATAACACCAGTGTGGATAATAGTGCGTCAGTTGTAGACAGCTATTTATTGTCACATTGACTAGTCAAGATTATTCCATTGCATTGTTGTTCTTCGTATTACCGCTCTAAAAGGAGTTTTCACTGTTTCTGTGTGACTATGATAGCACTGTACCTTCCACGGGAAGCAATTTAGTTAGGATTTATCATTTATAAGGCTACTAGTACGAAGAATCCCGAATAGAAACAATGCATTTGGGTGTGGAATACAGTGTGCAGACATCACGGAAATTTCAACGTTCCATGAAAYRWCAGTAATTTGCAATATGATAAAATGATTATTATGGCAATCAGTAATGGGTCTAGAATATCATCATGGRGTGGCTAACCAAAGAAAAAAAAGAATTACAGCGMAAATCRTTGCATCGCGACTTCTTMGTTTCSAAGTTTGTTTTGATTTTGTTCTTTCATTTRATCTAAGGGGCGGAGCTTGTCGTAAACTGGTTCAGTCATGCTGATTTGCAGCAAGTACCGCCCCCAAGTCGAAGAAAAACCTAAATCCTAGCGATTTCTTTTGAACATTGAAGTCGCGATACAACGGTTTCTGCTGTAAATGCAAAGATTTAGCCGAGCTTSGGAAAATGAAAGTTGTTTCTTGTGAACGTTGCTTTAGTTGTATTTAGACTGACTCCCATTTAATTTCGTTTTTTATTCACTTATATGATGATTTTTAGCTTTATATTTTTAATCCTAAAATGGGGGTGGCTAGCAATTCTAATGACCAGATATATATAGATAATCATAAGATAACTCAATGGAGATAACAATTCAAAGCTGTGATTATTGTGTGTTATAACACAAAAAATAATAAGAACAACAATATACACCATAAATGATAGTTTATAGCATGCATCAGGAGTTTCGAAGAAACTCGCGTCCGCCATCTTGAAAAGTGAGACCCGAATCACTATCAYGTGYCTYAGAACACATTTCATAMTTGTTATAAAGTCAACTAATCTCTCATTWTATCGTATTAWATTAAMTTGACATWAGCATAGAACCTTATAATTTCTTTAGGAGTTATAATTTCAGTGTGATTCGAGTCCCACTTTTCAAGATGGCGGACGCATTATTCTCCGAAACTCCGGATTCATGTATCTAAAATGACAACAGTAATCATTAAATTGATAGAAAAATAATAACAATTATAAATATTTACACATAATAATGCCATTATTAGAGGATATCACATGAACGCAAGATGGTTGACCTTCGAGTGTTGTAAACAACTCTTCCGAGTGAGCGCATCATCTGAGCGCATTTTCAACACGAAAAAATGGAATCTGGATCTCTAAGCGAATCGGTATGAGTCTGTACTATCTCTAAGCGAATCGGTATGAGTCTGTACTATCTCAAAGCGACCAAGTATTATTTTGTTTAGCATAATTGGCAATCTCATGAAATTTTCACTTCAACAAAAATACAATAATAAAAAATATGAATCTAGTTATTATAATACTGATAATAATATCGTAATAATCAATAACAATATCAAGAATGAGCAACAATAATATAGTCGACAACTGTTGTTATTATCAAAATATTTTATCAATATTTGTGAAAGAAACTCGCAAACATCAATTTTTTTTTACTCTACCCATCCAAGCTATCAAAACTGCATCAGATCTGTGACTAACTCCGCGGTAACCACAGTCAGCCCACCGAGCGACTATCAATTTCAGAGGTCTGATAAAAGAACCTTTCGTCTATCCACAGGGTATGAGTAAACACATGAGCTATGAAATATTCATTGCAACTGAATAAAGCGAGTTTTCTTTCGGTGCGTTTGTAAAAATGTACGGACTAAAGATACCTAATATTTGAAAACACAGTCAGCTGTTGGCTTCTCACACTAAACAAACGCGCGTGAAGCTGCTCCACAATGTCAAAGCGACGAAGTTCTTAGCTTTACAGTGACTCAAGCGAATCTTGTTCAATTTCCAGGTCGTGTAGCAAAGAAAACTATATGAGCTTTCTTGGTCTAAAAGCCTAAATTGTATTATTAACTGCTTGATGTACACATTCATACTTTAAAAGTACCCGCAAGGCAAAATGTACTAAACAAGCTGTTTGAAATTATTGGGAGCACGGTTTGAGCACTTCAAATCTCTCGTATCAATGACATTTTAAGCACACAAGTTCAAATTAAATTTTCTCTTGATTGGTTTTTTCAATTAGCAAATGCATAGGTACATGGTTTAATTTCGCAAGATTAATGACTGCAAAATACACTTTCACTTGAGAAAAACAGAGAGAGTTGAAGCTTGTGATGGTTTTTGTCGCTGCAAGGTGCAAGATGGCGACCGATTTGAAAATGAAACGACAAAAAAAGACAAAAAAAATGCACTTCAGATAGACGAGTATTCGACTAGTGTAATAGATAGCTCAATAATCGTTGAATAATTAATTGATCATAGAAAAAACAGCTCACTTTAAAAAATTTTTCTTGAATCTTCATTGCATATATATACCGATGTAAAAAAAAATAACGGCCGCGGATCAAAACATTTCGAGTGCATTGAGCCGAGTACAATCAGTCAAATAAATACAAGTAGTTTTTCTTTCTTCCGATACTTTAAATATTTATTAAAGTTAAGACAGCCAACAACTAAAATTGAAAATAAAACCAAAAAATTCAGATTGAGTATAAAAAGTGGAATCACGCAGGGGAAAAACCAGATGTTCGCTTTCACGTGTACGATTCCATGTATAGTATTTAATTGAAAATATTCAATTACGGTTAGGAGTTTTTGAAATGGACCTTTGAAAGCAAACCAGTGTGAAGTCATATTGATGATAAAATTAGGATAATATTTTGAATGAAGAAAGAAACTGAGACTATTGATCACAAAGCCATTAAGTTTGAATGGCAACCAGTCTTTTTTTTTTCGCTTTTAGAACTACAACATCCAAGAAACATCCAAGAAACTTTAATCTCAAATGAAGATGGATATTTCATGCTATATGTTAAACTTTTTTTCGTTTTWAAAATCACCTCTTTCGACACACGAAGATGGATAGTTTTCAAATTTGGCAATCTTCGACTCATTGAACTTGACGTTTTGAAGCCGTCTGGTTGCTATAGTTAGAATATTGCTTGACTGATTCTTTCAAATCCGCATGAATCACAATTAACGAAACATAATAGAAAAAATAAGAAAACTCTCTTAAATACAAAGTGGTTTTACACTCCAAGCTTGTGAAATTAGTCCAGATGGTCAGTACAATTAGCGGTACAATTCTGAACCCTGGCGTAAAAAATAATAAATACGTGCCTTTTCATTTTCTATAGTTAATATAATTTCATTTACTTTGGTCTAGAATATTCCAGTGTTTCTGAGGAAAGTTAAAAAGATTTGTAGGGAGCAAAAAGAGTTTATTAATCATTCACTAAACGCATAAGTRTCTTTGAAATAAACCTTTTGAATTCGCTGACTTCTTTGACATCTCTCAGTTTTAATAACTGTTCTTTCGCCACCTTTTGACTAAAAAACTGTTCGCATTAAATCAAGTATTCGCTACTTTGCACTACTGAAGATTCCACCAAATAAACAACACGAATTTTGTAAGTAAATGGAATTTAATATTTTATCGAATATAACAGTTCTTCCAAGATAATGGACACTGAATTACAATGATCAGATTATAATTTTTTTCTTTTTTTTCTTGTAATTTATCAAGACGCTTGTCTTTGAAATAAACTTCAAATTGGTAGATAAAAAATACTTCAGCGATAATACAATAGAGTTATCAGCTGCAAAAAGTGTTGACTTGAATAGAAAATCATATCACCAAGAAATATTATCAAATTTACTGGTGTCAATGTACTTTATGAAGAGGGGGAAAAAAGAAAATCATAATATCAACAATCCATCCTTTCTCTTTCGTCTGATAACACAAATTGTGCAGGCGGTTTGCTTACATAGAAAAACCTAGATAAAACTACAACCGCTTATGTTGTTATGCTAAAAAGGAAAAAAAAAATTCACTTCATTCAACATGCCATTAAAAGTCAACTGCTATCTGAAAGTGTCAACGCTATGAATTTCTTAAGTCGCTTAATAATTTATGATTCTTATGCGGAATATAGAAGTGCCACTAGTCCCGCGCATTAAGTGACCGAAATGTTTCATTACAACACAAGGCTACGCGAGAAATGTCTTGTAAAAAGATTGTCAAACAATAATGCTATGCGGTTATTTTGTTGCTTCAGGAGTTAACCAAAATTCAGACGCGTAGTGACGCAAATGTCGTCACTAACGTAATTAAAATGCTTTTGTGACAGAGAACGTGTGGATCGACAAATTATGAAAGATTTAAAGTCATTCGTTCCTTTTCCGTAACTAGAAACAATACCTTTGAAGTGAAGGTGTTTTGCATGACAATCGATGGCAAAATAATGCAGGGCTCATACTGAGTAACAATATTTCGACTCTCTTTCTACTAGTAACAACAGAGATGAGTAAACAGATAGCTTAGCAATGAGGTGGAATCTTTTTCTAGGTGTGTTTTATAGCGTGCTATCATTTCCAATTACAGAATGGTACAACCAAACGTACAGCTACTGGCCGTTTGAGTATGAATCCGCTTTCTGGAATGATCGCGTTGCAAGAGACTGGAGGGGAACGAATAATGGCAAAATCAAGGGAACTGTAAAATCTATTCCAGGAGTTGTCGGCACTGCAATTCACCTTTATGGACAAACTTCGTCAATCGATTTCGGTCTCCTCCCTGGTACATGTTTCAACGATCCAATGTCGTGTACCACTGGATTTGCAATAACTTTCTGGCTCAGAATTCCAAATTTCCAAGGAAACAAGATCATTATCCAGATGGCTAAAAATCGTAATTCACGTGGTTTGACGGTGTGGACCCGAAGGCAGAAAAAGAAGAAACTCAATTTCAGCGTCAATGGGAAAGATAGAAAGTATCACTTAGTAGCAAACTGGACCTATGAGCACTGGACCCATGTTTCTATCGTATGGTCTCGAGATCCAGACGCTCTGAAAGTCTACTTTAACTGCACTTTGAATCAAATTGTGAAGAAACCKGTAACRAATTCCAAAAAGAGTTCCATAGAAACTGTTAAAATGATGTTTGGGGCAAGTCAAGGGAATAAGAAACATTCCAGGGTRCAGCTAGATGAGCTTGCAATTTGGAACAGAACGATAAAGCCTGAAGAAATTTGTGGAATAGTACGAATAAGAACAGGTGAGGAGCAATGCAATGAGTGCTATCTCATTTAAAAAGCGAATGAATAATTTTCGTAAGCTCCCATAGATAGAACCCAAGAGGGTTTTTAATCTCAAGTCCTCAAGCTCTAAAAAGCTATAGTGCATTCGACGACGCGCTGGCAGCGTTTCTACTTGTCTATTAGTATTTTTAAAAGTTTCATACATTGTCACGAAAGCATCAGCATTTGGTATTTCGTTTAACGTAAGTGAAAAAATATTTTGTGGTTAGACGTTTCGTTCTTTTTACAAGTGGAAAGGTACTGATAATAATAAGGTTGATGTCTGTAAAAACCGTTGATAGAATGTAACATGAGATTTGCATCCAAATTCAACCACAAGTCTCAGTAGGTTAATTAGAGAACATTACACAGAAAATATAAGATGGACATAAATGAGRCGCCAAAATACTTTTATGGGAAATAAAGCCATTGATTAAAGTCCACTTGATCTGAAAATTGGTTGAGAATTCTCTGCGCCTTTTCACTGTCGCAAAGACTCCATATTGATTTCATTTTGATGACACTCTTTAGAAATTCCAAAGACATTGCAATAATTATTTTACTTTTAATAAGAATCATAATAATAACATTCCATTAAATCATCTTTATAAAGGCTTTGTACTAACCGTTGTTATTTGGTTAAACCGTCGGCGAAACTTTTGCAGTGTCATTATGCCTGCCGATTTGACCACCTTACCATGTAACCAAAAAAGGGAGCGGAAAAAATAATTAAAAAAAAAAAACAACAACAAACAAACAAAGAAAAGTAAAGAAAACTGTACATGAATTATGAAATGTTCTGCAAAACCTTATGAAATGACTAAGAAATCATAAAACGTTGATGTATTCATATATAATTTCTGGAAAAAATTATATTTACCGCGTGGGGTTAAAAAGATCTTTTCAGAGACTTTTTCATTCGAATATGTTTCCGGGTGTTATTATCAAAGACGGCTGTTATGAGAAACATTTTTCAATATTACATACTAGAACTCTAAATAATATATTCAAATCAACAYAGATGTGCAACAAATCGCGATTTTTGATTAACCTTAAGCTCAATATTGATTTTGGGTGTAATATCTTCAATCTAAAAATATATCAAGTCAACAACAACCTACACTACTAATTTAATCTCAATCTTTAAGAAACATCTTAAATGACTCTTATTTATTCATGTCTATCCCATGCAGTTCACTGATAGAATGGTATAGATAGGGAAGCGCTGAGTGTTGAAAAGAAAACTATTGTCTAAACTCATTCATATATACTCATGCAGACCGTGGGGTCTTTATAGAGAGCCAGACTAAATTATCAATATTTATTTCAAAACTTCCTTTTTTWAAAAAAGGGTTTTCAAAGACTCCATGAATGAACACTGAATATGTAAACAACAGTTTTGATCGYGACTAGCATCGTTATCAAAAACCATACAAGTTTTAGGGCTTTTTTTCGCCGTGTAGTKTACGGTTYCCAATATTGTGGCGATACCCAATATTCGCCAAATAAAACCTGAATAGAATACAGATAAAAACCTGAATAATAAATAGTTCCTACACTACTGTTAAAACTACAACTAGCATCATCAACAATTTCACTTTGCCATATGTATCCAGTTTACAAAAAGGTGAAAATAAGCAAGAGTTAACTTAACTCTACAAGGCTAAATAAAAGCAGGCAGGCAGTTCGTATGTTTTTAGAACAGAAATTTACTTATATCAAATGTTTTAAGTTAAAGTTATTAAAAATTAACGTGATTAGCTCTTGTGGTTAAATATGGACATTAAATAGACTAAAGAGCCACCMATTGAAATTTTTTCAGTGACATTATGGTTTTATTTCATGGTTTTAGACTATAAAAACGACTATAACGGTTAAGGTAACAATTCTATCATATATTACGCGAACTCTATATAATATTGTATTTACACAACTTTATTTTCCTTTATTTGTTTTTCTGGTCGCAATGAAAAAAATTGTATTTGGAACTTTCAGATGTAATTGTGATGAAATTTACTTTAAACGAACGTCAAAGGACTTACTTTATGTCTTCATATTTTCTATGTTTTCTTTATACAAACAAATTAAATATTTTAGGCACTAAATAATAGACCTTTTCCACCCTAATAAAACATTGTCAATGGAAATGTCATGTAAAACAAACTATGAAATAAGATGAGAACCAAATTGATGTGCCAAAACCATTTTAAACACATTTTAAACAAAACTGCTTTTACTAGCAAGCCACAGAATAAAGCYGTTTTGAATACGCACACCTGTGAGACACATTAAAATTTCATCTGCAATTACTCGCTCGTAATTTATCACATAAAACATGTCATTCATATGGATGTCAAAGTTTTACTGTGTTACTCCGCGGTAAAGGCACCGCCGGCCCTCGAATAGTGGATCAAAAACAGCTATGTGGTTTCCATGGGATCAGTAGGGTCTATAATCTTTTGAAACTCGCGTATTCGCAAAARCCTATCCCCATGRCAGACTTATCACAGCGAAAAAGTGGCATACTTTGATATACACAAATTGAAATGTCGCCGCGTCGTGTTATAGCGACTTGTTTTTCAGAACAGAACCTAATAATACCGTTAACCATAAAAAGAACTCGTTTGATCAACCGATGCCCTCAAATACACTAAGAGGGTTTCTAAGCGATATGCACTTTTCTTTTTTTAACCAATATATTCATTGGTTAACCTTAGTGGTAAAACGTCGGCTGAGTAAAGCTATTTTGAAGATTTCCAGTGTAATTTTCATGTCAATTCTGACGCCAATTTTCCCGATGAATGTCAAGTTTAAAAAGTTAATCGGTGTATTTACTTTATTCCCATTAAGTAACTTGCGCATGTTTGATACTAATCAAGGGAAATTACTGCTCTGAAAAACCATTGACCGCAACTAGACTACATTACTGTCTCCGAGTATTAGACCAGAAGACCTTTGAAAAACGTTCTGTTGAGATTTTTAAATGCTTGGCACTCATTTTACGATGGAGCCTTTATTTAATATGAGATTTATACACAAGCTTTTAAATTTTTACTCTCAWTTTTTACTCTCTAGTCTTGTCGTCGTTTAAATTAAAATTTGTGTCAAATAAAAAGGCGATAACAGTTTATAGAATTTTACGTGCAATCTTGTATATGTTTGTTGGTTTCAGTTTTAAAAACGACGGTTCGTTAACTTCCAGTCAATATATGTGCGTTCATTTTAGTGTTTGTTTTTTTACAGTGCATGGTGGCTATAGTGAATGGTCCAAGTTTAGTGAATGCAGTCAGACCTGTGGTAATGCGACTAAGATAAGAACGCGCAATTGTACAAATCCTGTACCAAAACATAGAGGCAGAGATTGTTCACTTCTTGGACCAGATCATGAAATACAATACTGTAAAATGCCTCATTGTCCAGTCCATGGTGGATATGAGTGGACAACATTTTCGAGATGTACAGAAAGTTGTGGTACTGGAGAAAAGTACCGYCATCAAACGTGYACAAATCCTAAACCTGCACATGGCGGAAGAGAATGTTCACCGTCTCCACTAAAAGAAACCCAGGCTTGCAATACAAACCCTTGTCCTGTAGATGGCAAATTTACTGCATGGTCCGAATACAGCAACTGCACTAAGTCTTGCGAGAATGGAACAAAGTTTCGGTATCGTAATTGCACGAACCCTGCACCACAGCACGGAGGGCGAAAATGCCAGGGGGCAACTTTAGAGGTTATTGAATGCAATACTCACAAATGCCCCATTAATGGTGGCTTCACACAGTGGTCGAAMTTCACGGAATGTTCGAAATCGTGCGGGAATGGCACAAAGTTTCGGTATCGTAATTGTACGAACCCYATTCCAAAATTTAATGGAAAGAACTGYGTGGATTATTTAGGKCCGGACAACGAGACTATTTTATGCAACACCCACTATTGTYCCATCGATGGTGGGTTTACTAACTGGACAGAATTTAGTAACTGCTCGAAATCATGCGGRAAAGGCACTAGATTTCGCTACCGCAATTGCACCAATCCATCTCCCCAACACGGAGGGAAGAATTGCTCTGGAAAAAATTATATAGTAGAATTATGTAACACACATAAATGCCCAATCGATGGTGGCTACACTGATTGGTCGAATTTCACTGAATGCACAGTGTCATGCGGTAATGGCACAAAATCTAGACATAGAAATTGCACAAATCCTGTTCCTATGCACAATGGAAAGGATTGTTCACTATTGGGGCCAGCAAAGGAAACCCAATTATGTAATACTCATCACTGTCCAATACACGGTCAATATACACAATGGTCACAATTCACTAACTGTTCGAAATTGTGCGGAAATGGCACTAAATACCGCTTTCGTAGTTGCACCAATCCTGTTCCKCAGTATGGTGGTAATAACTGCTCTGAATTTGGGGATAGTATAACGATTGTTGCATGTAATGTTCATGAATGYCCTATTCAYGGCGGCTTCTCTTCCTGGTCAAATTTCACAGAATGTTCTAAATCGTGCGGAAATGGAACYAAGTATAGAACTCGCAATTGCACTAACCCAGCTCCAAAGCACGGTGGTAGAAACTGCTCTGGGTCTTTAAATGAGACCTTGTTTTGCAATTCGTTTCCTTGTCCTATTGACGGGGGCTACACCGAATGGACAGATTTYAGTAATTGCACAAAACCATGTGGCAAYGGAACAAGGTTTCGAACTAGAGAGTGTACAAATCCACCACCACRACACGGTGGAAAAGAGTGCTCCATTCTAGGAGCTGAAATAGAGACTRCTTTTTGCAATAGGCACTTTTGTCCTATTAACGGAGGCTATACTGAATGGTCAAGTTATAGCGAATGTTCCAAAACATGTGGCTATGGGGAGCAAGTCCGCCTCCGTCATTGTACTAACCCTACCCCACAGCACGGTGGTGAGGATTGTAGTTCGCTTGGAGCACCGAAACAAGAGAGAGAGTGCATGGAGAGAGAATGTCCAATTCACGGTGGATATAGCCCATGGTCACCATTTGGGAAATGCTCAAAATCATGCGGTTCTGGTACAAAAACACGAACGAGAACATGCACAAATCCCGTACCAAAACACGGTGGAAAACCATGCACTCATCTTGGGTCTAATTATGAAATAAGAAACTGCAATAGGCACTCATGTCCGATTAACGGCCGATACACACCATGGTCAAGTTTTAATAAATGTTCAAAATCATGCGGGTCTGGGGTTCAAAGTAGATATAGAACTTGTACAAATCCAGCACCACAGTTCGGGGGTCAAAATTGCTCTCGGTTCGGGTCTAGTATTGAAACAAGAACGTGTAACACCAATTTTTGTCCAGTACACGGGAATTACTCGGAATGGTCAAACTTTACTACTTGTTCGAAATCATGCGGTTCTGGGGTTCAAAGTAGATATAGAACTTGCACAAATCCAGCACCACAGTTTGGGGGTCAAAATTGCTCTAGTTTTGGATCTAGTATTGAAACAAGAACGTGTAACACCAATTTTTGTCCAGTACACGGGAATTACTCGGAATGGTCAAACTTTACCACTTGTTCAAAATCATGTGGGTCTGGGGTTAAAAGTAGATATAGAACTTGCACAAATCCAGCACCACAGTTCGGGGGTCAAAATTGTTCTAGTTTTGGACCTAGTAATGAAACAAAAACGTGCAACACCCATTTTTGTCCAGTACACGGGAATTACTCGAAATGGTCAAACTTTACCACTTGTTCGAAATCATGCGGGAATGGAACGCTTTTCCGAAAGAGAWTTTGCAACAACCCGGTTCCTAAACATGGGGGAAGCAATTGCTCCCATTTAGGGCCAGCAATGGATATACGACAATGCAATGTCTTTCCATGTCCAATAGATGGCAGGTACACTTCATGGAGTTATTTTTCAACGTGTGATAAAAGCTGCAATAATGGTACTAAGTTTAGAACTAGAAATTGTTCTAATCCTTCTCCACAATATGGAGGTAGAAATTGCTCCAAAATTGGACCTTCTATTGAARTAGTSTCTTGCTTTCTTAGACACTGTCCAATTCATGGGCAATTCGGGAATTGGTCCGAGTATGGACCATGCTCGAAGTCTTGTAACATAGGTATAAGAAATAGAACAAGAATGTGTGATTCTCCGAGGCCCCAATACGGTGGAAGCGCCTGCGAAGGAGCATCGATGCAAACAACGGTATGCAATATACATCCCTGTCCTATCCACGGCAATTATACAGCTTGGTCGGAGTTTTCGCCCTGCTCAACATCTTGTGATGGAGGAGTTATGATAAAAACTAGAAACTGTACAAATCCTGAACCAATGCATGGTGGAAGAAACTGCAGTCAACTTGGAGAGTCGAAATTAATACGCAAATGTAACACTCAACGTTGCCCAGGTATGAAATTATAATAGTAATAGCAATWGGTAGTCTCCTTTGCAGCCTCTCTTTTGRAAGTCCGGCAAAAGGAGGGTCCGTGATTGAGAATATACTATAGGGGGTTCAGTGTCGTTCAGATGTTGCGAAGGAAAAACGAAGATCTAGATGATAAACACCAAGTTGATGCACTGTGTTAATATAAATCACCACACTTTGATAAATTCATGAAATTGTGTTGTCCTTATTACATAGATATTGTATTTAACATAACGCTCAATTTAACCCGCCAAACGTGGAGAAACAGTCTGGCAAGCCCTTCAAGTGAAGCGTTCATGAGTCTGAAGTATTCCATCCAAACCCAAGTGAGTAAGAGTTGTTTTTTTTTTCGATTCCTTTGCACTTCACTTTGACTTGCATTTTAAGAAGAAATTTTACTATGTTAATAAACTAACTCAGTCTAAGGAAGGATTACGGACGTAAATTAGGCTTGATTGGCACTCACTGAAACTAGGTTCCAATAGCTCCTATAGAGTTCTTGTCTCTTCTTCCTTCTCAGCGCGTCTCTAATGACAGGTTGTTGAAAAGCAGCAATTGTGGTTTTACCTTTTTCTTTTCCTAGTTAACTGAAAATGCTACTAAGATGGCTAGTATTAAATCTAAAGTTAATTCTCTGAACTCGCACAAAACGAGGCACTTTAGTTAGGTTGGCAATAGCGGATTCTTGGTCATTAGCTCAACCTGCAACCGAACAGTTTGAATCGTTTAAACCTGTTTTAATTCATCCTACAGATTRAAGSTTTGTACGSARRGCAAAAGAAGATATCAAAGGTTGAAGTGTGGAGGATAAGGTAGAAAATAGATGACATCTGGAAATAAGTAATGGCAACAGTATTCTCCTTTGAAACATACTGGGATACTATGATCCTAGTCGCTTTGATTCCGGATTTTAGCCAATAAATTCGATTCGGGCTGGATTCCGGATTTAATTTTTTCTTTTATTTCGGATTCCAAAGTTATTTTTTTTCTTGAGTCTAGATTACATTACAATGCAACACAAGAGGAAATACTTGTGGCCGTAAACTATTTCAACGATGAAKGAAAGAAGTCCCAAATAACTTATTTCAAGTCACAATCACTTGAATCATATATGACCCTATGTGATCTTGTCAACAGGAAAGGCAGTGTGTTAGTAGACATTCTTCTCAAGTACTACAGTGAACTATACAAGGGTATAACCGTTCTCCAAGACGCAATATACAGGAAGAAACAACTGGGCAACTTTCAAGTGTCACCAGTACGTCTCTTCACAGAAGATGGTAAGATATCCTGTACTAAGAAAGATACACATAAAGTTAGAAATCACAAAATTAAAGGAACTTAAATCTTATTAGTCTGTGCTGTTAAGTAGGAAAGGATTGGGGGAGTTTCACCCATCTGGAAAAAGGGTTCTCCATCATGTCTCCTCTTTAGTATTGACCATCAGGATAGGCTGTGCACATACTATCATATGTACTAACAATGTCTCGCGTACAATTTATATAATTATTCTGTTATTGAAAATTAGTGATTGAAAGAAGAATAGGAATAAAATACGATTTTCAATGCCAAAAGAAAAAAAATTACATCGAATAAATTCTTAAAATAGTCACTAATAAAGTGTACTTCTTGTTATTTCAGTCCCTTTTGCAGCACCACGAAATGTTTCAGGTCACAACAGCAGTTCCTCCAGCATCTTCCTGTCATGGGAACCAGTCTCTCRCGGATTTACAAACGGAAACATAACCGSCTATCGAATCAGTTACACACAAGCTAGTACTGCTARTACYAGGKTACCACGTGAMATCTCTAAAGAACWCACAGAAAGTGTCCTKGTACCAAATCAACTGAACTATGTCGTCAAAGATTTGAAGCAATTTGCTGACTATGAATTTCGTGTTGCTGCCAAAAATCAGCGAGGGATTGGTGTGGATAGTGATCCAGTTGTCATAAGAACAGACCAAGGCAGTAAGTAGTAGCAGAGTCTAGACCTCCAAATGATTATTAGTTCACAATATATTTTGTGTTTCCAAATTAATAGCTAAATCTCATAATGTAAACACCTTGAGCCCAAGAAAATGAATTCTTCTGTGAGGTGAAAAGGAGACTTGTGCTTACCATAGCAAGACTATCAGTAAGGGATAATTCCTTCCGCTACTCTCTATGAAAATGTTGAAACGGAAAAAAAGTGAGTGGTCGAGGGGTCTGATGAAAAAGAAAAAGCGATCGTGACAAGAGCAAAGTGAGTGATTTTATTTCACTGCTTTCTGAGTGTGACTGACTAAAAAAGGTTATAGAGAATGTGAAGGGCTCAAATCCCGTCCCGGTAATCCAATTTCGAATCCACTCACTACTAGACTTTATGCCTCTGCCAAACAGCGTGCAAACGACATCATAAAAAATGGGTTGAATCACAGTGACTACACTTAATATTTCAAACTTCACAGAGCCTTTCAAACCGCCACCATCACTGAACGCCCAGAACACAAGTTCCCAAAATGTAACTGTTTACTGGTCTGCTATTCCCGAACAAGATATACCTGGATATCTCCAAGGATACCACATATATTATAGCCCTGCAGAAAATAAAACCGCAAAGAAGAACATCATGTCAGTTGATCGCGATGAAAGAAGTGTACWGCTCACAGATCTCGAAAAGTACACTTTGTACACGATACATGTCAGYGGCTTTACCATCAAAGGAGACGGACCCATTGCAAAGACGCACGTGCGAACAGACGAAGATGGTAAGAATACAACCATGCGCTAAGAAAGACCATCGCAAAATGTTATTGTTCATTAAATTAGATGATCCTTAACCATTGTGGAAAAACCCACGAAAGCTTTACTTGAGTTCTGCTTTAGTGGGTCGAAATTTCAAGATCAAAAGAAGTCAAAATATTAAAAAAAAAGGTGGGGGATGGCAATGGTAGTGTATTTTTAGCGGCATTATACACATTTACGCAAATGTAACTGTACATTTTCGGGACCGGAAAGTTTGTTGTCTTTGGAATTGCAAAGTATCAGTTAAAGGTTTTTTATCTTTTTTTATTTTAGTACCCAGTAAACCTCCCCAAAACGTGACTGCACAGAATACCAGCTCCACGAGCATCATGGTTAAGTGGAGACCGATACCAAAACAGTTTGTACATGGAATACTTCGAGGCTACAACATTAGCTATCACGTGACAGAGAAGTCTYCCGTAATCGAGTGGGAGTGGGTAGACGTCCAGGGGACTTTAACACAGGGACGAATTAACGGTTTGGAGAAATTTACAGAATACGTCGTTCAGGTTAGCGCTTACACAGTGAAGGGAGAAGGGCGGCCATCAAAGGCAGTGAATGTCTGGACTGATGAAGATGGTAAGAAACAAAAACTTTTATAACACTCTAGTTGAACACCTCTACATGAATTAAATACTTTCATTCCAATTGCATGTAATTTCATATATCTCTGTTTTATTCCCTGTTCTTAGTTCCTGATGCATTTCCAACCAACTTGACCGGTTTCAACACAAGCTCTACAGAGTTGTACCTTGAATGGTCACATTTAAAAGATAAAGAATGGAATGGTCGAGCAGTTGGATACAAGATATTCTTCAATGCCAAAAGAGGATACAAAAAACAAGAAGTGACAATAAACGCGCACACTTCGCACACCACATTGGATAAACTTCTTAAATTCACATGGTACAAAATTCAAATTGCTGCTTTCACAAGCAAGGGCTTGGGACCAAGATCTCCGGAAATTGAATTGCGAACGTCTGAAGATGGTATGTGTAAAGAGTTTCAGATTTTCATAATAGCAAAGATTGCTGCACGATAAAATAGTTCAGTGCTGAAGATGATTTTCATGAAAAGGTGCATGAAATAGTGGAACTAAATATAAAGACTTGCWGTGTAGCACGCTATCAGAAGATTTTGTTGTTGTGCATTATTAAGATTCATGATCACATCACCACTTGCGTTAGCCCCACTKCGTATTGAGAAAAGAAAAGTCAACAGCGCATATAAAGACATAGTTCCAGTCAACCGCAGACAACGGTTTCGACAGATTTCTTTTCTGTAACCGGAATACGATTACGAACAAACACCATTACGAGCAAGTAGCCATAGTTTGAGTTAAAAAGATGACATCTTTTAAGATGTTATTACAATGAGCTTTCCTCTGTATTTTCAACAGTTCCAAGTAGATCAGTCATAGAGGTCAAAGCAAGATTCACTAGTCACACAAGCCTTCTTGTAGAATGGAAATCGATCCCYACCAAATACATTCATGGMATTTTACGAGGCTTTAGAATYGAATACTGGGTTGCTGCTAATAACAAAGACCAGAAAAKGAAGAAAACAGGATCCAAAGCTCGAAGTTTGGAGCTGAAGAAACTATTGATTTACACCAAATATGCCATACAAATTCTAGGATTTACTTCAGCTGGAGAAGGAGAAAAAAGTTACATCGTTTACGCAACTACAGATCAATATAGTAAGTATATGATTTTGATTAAACGGATTCATTTGCATTGATTCACAGGTTCGGAATAAGAGCTTTCTAGCCGTCTACCACAGATTTCTTGTGATATATTTTTTGGAAAAATTCGTGATCTTTTTTTTATTATTATTATTTTTTTTAATTTTTATTCCAATATAATAAATATAAATAATACTACATTACATTTAGTGCAACAAAAAAAATCGTGCTCTATAGGCTGTGACAAAGCCCGATCGAACGCCCTTTGAGCGTGTATTCAATTTGCTAAAATTGCATTGTACGAAAAATGGATCGATCATATTTTTCACTTCAAGTTACTTAAAGTGCAGGGCTCAACAGGTCAAACAGTCAAAGATTTACAGATACATCACGAAGAGACAGACTAGTTGTTCAAACGGGACCATAGATCGAAATAATGGGACGAAGTGCTCGACCTGCCTAAATCTCCTTAGTGCCTAAAGTAGTATGGATAAGTCACTCTAAGGCAAATAAACGTCCACAATGTCCCCTAAGATTGCACCAAACTATTCACTCTTACTTTGAGTTTTGAATATTTATTTTACAGCACCAGGAGCACCCCCACAAAATCTACAAGCTTTCAACAAAATCAGCCCAACCAAGATCCTCGTCCAGTGGGAGCCAATCAAAAAGCCTTACGATGTCCATGGCATTCTGCTCGGATATAAAGTCTACTACAAACCAGTGCAGGTGTCAAATCAGACCATCGAAGAGCCACAACTCTTTAGAGAGATAGTTATAGAAAAACCTAATCAGATTTCTTTAGAAATAAGGAATTTGAGTGCATTTACACGGTATCGTATTTACGTGCTGGCGTTCACTATAAAAGGAAATGGAGTACCGACTAAGTCCATTTTGGCAGGTAAATGATCCAGTGAAGAATACATGATTTCAATGAAAACGTCCAGTCTAGTCATTACAGTGACTGTGGCCCTAGTCTGCGTCCAGGGTGCCTTTCTCGTTTATAGGCGCCCAAATACGTGTTTGCTTGCTATGCTGTTACTCACTAAACCACTTTTTTTTCTACATAGAGACGTGCAACTGCCACCGAATGCTTCACACCAATTGGTGGCCCAGCCCGCCATACGTGGAAAAACCAGGTTCACTCAATAATTCAGGAATCATTCCACCAGTCTTAGAGAACGCAGTTAAGAGATGTTGTSAAGACTGTGCCGAATTTGGGGAAACAAAAGTTAATTACACGAAAACACCATATGGCAAGTCAGCCATGAAGAAAGGGCTGCAACAATTCAAGGAAAATATCGACGACGGAGAATTGAGTTTTCCTGTGTATGGCTTCATGGATCAAAAAGTTTATTCAGGSTCGTATGGTTTTGCTCCTTTGGTCAAGTCCCCAGGAGTAGCGATGATTATTATCGGAGATGAAGAAGGMACGGCWGCGATGATGCTGATTAGGTCGATTATACTGTGCTGGCCGATAGTCTTTCTTGATATTATGCTGCTTTGGRTTCTTAGTATCCTTATCTGGTTCGTGGTGAGTATATTGAACCAAGGGAATGGTGGGGGTCGTTACGAGATAGGGGTGCCAATGTTATGTGCAAATAGGAACCTTTTCCTACAATTTGATGCAGCCCCTATAATTGACGTCATCATCTTAAGAAGCAAAAAGTTTATTCATCGCGAAAAGGGAACTTTAAATGTAAGAATGAGATTCTAAATGTACTGTGGAGATTCGCCTACAGATCTCTTCCCTATCTCTCTCATACAGTAAGAAAAACTGGTCGGCCTTTCTGACACTTCTAAACTACCAATTTTCTCTCACAAGGAAACATTCAACAATTCTCGACACTTTCCACATAACATGCTACAAGGAACATGGGAAGGAATGTGGTGGGCGTTTGCTTCCATGACAACACTCGGGTAAGTTTACTGTATTTTTCAACTTCGTTTCATAAACGTCCGCCATCTYAAATTTTGACTATTTAGTCATTTTGTTTCATTTTCAACGACTCTGACAGATACGATCATGGGCACACATCAAAAAGKAAATACCGAAAAGGACGAATGTTTGTGTGGCCTTTGCATTACTAATAAGTACTATAAACAGAAAGAACGATTTTGAAAAAGTGCATTAAATTACATTATATATAATGTGACATGTGTTTTTCGATTTTCTACAGTTATGGAGACCGCATTCCTCGGACACCCATGGGTCGCATTATTGGTATCATATGGATCCTAATTGGAGTAATTCTAATTGCATGTTTCAACTCTACCATGACTTCCGTCCTTACTTCTCGCATATTAGACAAAGAAAGCATGTTATATGGGACCAAGGTACAATATGAGTATTGAAAAAAAAGCATCCAGTTGAGCACCACTGAACAATTGACTTTTTATCATATTCAGATTGCAGCCATTCAAAACTCATCCGAATACAGATTTGCTGTGCGAAAAAATGCCAATGTCAACCCTAACGGTAAACAAACGAACAAATAAGACGTTGTTGTTAGTGCGCTGTGATGCCCAAGCATTGCAACGGCAATAAATGCGATTTTATTAAGTATGTTCCTCTGGAACTAAAAATGAACATGATCGAAGTTATTTTCAAAAGGGCGTGGTCAGCTGATGTGCACCAAGATATGATTAGCCAAAAAACAAAAATGAAGCCTCACTTATACCTAATAAGAGGAAAAGAATCCTGATTTTAAAGCGCGCCTGTACGTCCAGAGACTAACTTGGGCAATTTTTCCATGGCACTCATTCTTTTCTTTTACCTTAGGTAAAAAGTACTCGAATCTAGATGAAATATACCAAGCACTGACCAAACGTGAAGTGAAAGGTATTCTGATAGATGCCTATACAGCAGGAAGCAGAGCCGAACTCTTTAACCGATCAGACATTAGAATCAGTAAGCTGTACGACTACTCGTCCGCGTATGGAGTCGTCCTTGGAGGTGAAAGCAAAAAGCTACAAAAGTGCTTCCATAGCTATCTCAATGAACATCGCTCATTTGTATCTGAAATAATCCAGAAAAACACGAAGACTATCAAGGTAACTGGAAGACTATTTACTTAGTTAGTGATATAGAGAAGATTAAGTTTATCCGTTCATTCACCTTTTTACGCATGCTTTTTTTTCTATATTTCTTTCCCTTTGTACATGTATTCAAAATAAATTGTGGCTACTAACGGTAAACTGCGTCGGTGTTTGTAAAGAAACAGTTGCATAAAAAGATAAATTTAACACCGTAAAAAAGTACGTAAAACAACTTACTGACTTTTCGGACGTTAAAAAATAAATAATTTTGTTGTTGCTGTTGTTTTCTTCAATGCAAATCATCCAGAGATCGCTAGCGCTTCGTGATAGAGATCTATCTTTTTCAAGGAGTTTTCAAGAACTTTTTCCAAATTTTCAGATTTTCAAGGAGTTTCAATGCCACTGCACGGACCCTGATTACAGTTCTCATTTGATCGACTACTAACATATGTTCTCATCCCAACTTTATGTTTTTATCTTAATATTTAATTTCTTTTTTGCTGCATTGTAGATCAATTTCATTTATAAGAAAGCGTTTTTAATGAATACCATATCTCTCATTATACAGGAATCAGGCAGGGCATTGAGTGTACAGAGGTCACAGGGTCTCTTTGACCCCAGATTTCCAACTTATCTCAAGTCAGTCATCGTCTGTGCTTCAATACTGATCCTGCTATTTCTAGTTGGAGCAAAATTTTCTTGTGCAAAGAAATTTGGATGGATTGCAAGTACAGGTACATGTGGCCTAAGAAACATTATTGATGCTTTGCTTTTGATGTATTGAAGTTTTGATTAGTTAGAGCACAGGTGCGTATTCTACAGGCTTGTCATTCAAAGCCCGCAACCAGCAAATTCAACCATCTTTTTTGCTACTATTGCAGTTGTAATGCACATAAAGTTTCTCTTTCAGAGCAAGCACTTACTTCCAAATTAAATGAAACCTTTGTATTTGTCTAATACTCAAAAAAATTATTATTTACAATTAATGAGTATTAATTTGTAATTGAAAGTAATCAGAATAAATCACTCAACTGAACAAATGAATTTTAAGGATTAATTTCACTTTCTTAAAGTCCTAAGCTCCACATTTTGAACACAAAAAAAGAACTTCTAGTAAGTCTAAGGACTGACCTGACCTGTATTTGAAAAATTAAATGAATAAATGAAATTACACATTCCTACATGTTACACTCTATACTTTTCTAATATTTCAGGGAAGTCAAAAAAGTACCAACGAGCCACAACACACGAAATGCTTCTCGACAAAAAGATGTTACGCAATGAAATGTCATTCATTGTTGAGGTATTTTTTAGAAACTGTCAACAGCGAATGGCCTACCTAAAGTACAAACACCTAAAAGAACTACAACTACTTACAAAACTTAAAAAGGAACATGACTACGGACCTGTACAGAAAGGATCATTCACAAAGAATAATTTGTGGTCTGTCCAGTGCAACCCTAAAGGAAATATGTTTTCTTCAATATTGTTTAAGAGACATCAAAATGTAAGAAGTGGCCAAGCAAATGGCTTCTCATTCAAAGGATTTAAAAAGTCGAGAGAAAAGGAGACAATAGTCTGATATTCAACGTATTTTTGATAGAAAGATATTCGTTCATTTATACTAAAAAGTAGCTAATAATAATAGACTTGCTTACTTTGATAACTGCCAAAAATCCTGATCAATCATTATTATTATTATAATATTGTGAAGAGTTATTGTTGTCCTGAAGAATTGCTAAAGATTACAGTAAGAAAGGTCAGAGAGATGTGCATAACATAACTCCTTCATTATTATACCTCATAGAAACTTTGAATTTTTATGAAACACTGGACAAGCATTTGTTGATCAAGTAACATCTCCACAGAGAAGAAAACTTGTGAATGTTTGAAAAATAATCTTTAAAATTAAGACAAAATCTAAATCCTTGAATACTAATAAAGTGAACAGTTTTACAAGTCTCCCTTGCCATTCTCACTGCCAGCTTCAGCACATTTTCTAAATAATGGCAGCTCGTCATAATAAGTATTATTGGTTTCCTCATTGCCTCAGTAAACAGCAAAAGAAACTTGAAGCTATAATTGAAAAGAGTCCAGAGTGACAGTAAAGTAACTAGTTTACCGTTAGATTATTAATTGACAATGCGGTACTTTTGATTCAATACCATAGAACTCTTAAAGATTACTTTGATTCCTGCGTAGATACTAAATGCATGTTTATGTACTTCAAGCTGCTATTTATTTGTTTATCAATTATATTATTTGTATTAGAACTTTTGAATTTTATTACCAAATTAAAGATTTTGAATTATTTTATATTTAAGAAGTAAACTTTTACAAAGAGATGTAGATATATTATTATGTAATAAATATATTGAAAGACACAACGTTTGATATTTTGAATTAATTAATTATTTATTATTTTATTAATTATTAATTAATTTTCAATTTTCAAAAAAAATATATTGAGTATTCGAACAATTGAGTTTCGAGTTTATTGAGTTTTGAATCTAATCAATCTAAACATCTCATGTTTTGAGAAAAGACAATATTCTCTAGGGCTGATATATTACTCTATGTTATATTTCATTCTCAGAAAATGTAAAATATCTTGAATTCAGTTTTTGGACGTCTCACATATAGTTAGTCTCAATCTCCACCTTGATCTCATTGTCCCTAAAAATCCTGTTGAACCATTCCCCACCCCTTCCTTTGAACTATCAACAACTTGATAATACAAAATATATTGTTGTTGCAAACTTATAAGATTGCATTTGAGACAATGAACAACTTTTAGACTGAAACAGTTACATAAGATCAGTAACATATGGAAACATATTGTTCAGGTATTATTTTGAGTTTCTACTTTTATATTTTATTTAAGAAAACTAGAAAGTTATCTACAAGAGTCATCTTTGCTGCTTTGCTCAAAGTTCATTTTTTCCTGTAAGATTCTGGCATGTTCTTTTTCATGATTCAACCAAGACTGGTACTGTTCAGTGGTCAAAACTTCAGAAGCATGGTCTTTAGACCAGCTCTCAAACATATGTTTTCCAAGTTCATCATATAGTTTTTGTTGTTTTGCATGACACTTTGATACTTCGGCATTCATTCTAAAATAATGTTGATAATAAGATATTATCAAAATAATTTGCACTTTAATTTTAGGGATTTTAAACAGCTAAAAGCTTGCCCAGCATAGAAAGGCTTAGTTTTATGATGATCCTTTATTTTTTATCACATGTTTCCACTTTTTTCTCCTTATTTTTTCCCTTTATTTTTCTTCCCATTCCTTTGTAGCATTATAGTATTAAGCATGTCTACAAAGTAATTCCACGATTATGAATCCACCCTTTACTAACTATAAGGTTTAAAATTTTACCTCACTAAAAAAATCTTAACTTATTAAGTAAGTTAAAGCCTAACTTAATTAAAGTCAAGTTCCAGTAACTTAAGCTTATTGCCGGATTTCAAGCAGAGTGGGGACTGGGCAAAATCCCCTAATTGGACCATCATGACATAAGACTTACATAGAAAGAAAGCCCTTGTTGAGAAATGCAAAGTTCCAAAATTTGATGTAAATCAGTTCAATAGTGAACGAGTTACAGCCTTTCAAACATTCTAAAATTACCAAAGAAATGTATGTGATCTCGCAAATGTGTCCGGAAAATGGTCAAAATCCGGACACATTCACGACTTCCCATACATTTCTTTGGAAATTTTAGAATATTTGAAAGGCCGTAACTAGTTCACTATTGAACTGATTCTCGGTTTGCACATGACGTCATCAGTCGAA